AGGCACCTGAGGTAGAACAAGAAGAAATGGGTGGAAACTAATCAAGGAGAGAAGCAACCTTGAACTGAGGAGAAATTTCTTAACAGTTACAACAATTAATCAGTGGAACAGCTTGCCTCCAGAACTTGTGAATGCCCCAACACTATAAGTCTTTAAGATGATGTTGGATAGCCATTTGTCTGAAACGGTATAGGGTTTCCTGCCTAGGGGGTTGGACTAGAAGATCTCCAAGGTCCCTTCCAACTCTGCTATTGTATTGTATTATACTTTGCATTGTAGCAAAGTATAAAAGTATGTAGTGTCATTTCTTCAGTGTTGTCACATGGAAAGATATTCTTAAATATTTACAAAATGTGAGGGGGTGTACTCACTTCTGTGATATGTCCCTTCAAAACCACAAGGCAGTTAACCCCACTTGGCAAGTATAGTAGAAATCAAATCACATCTTTACTTATCAAAGACCAGCACAGAGTGTACAAACTATATAAAAGGCCAAAGGAAAGACAAGACGTTCTTTTTCTCTCAGCCAGCTTTTCAAGAAAGTCATAGAACCCATTCGGACAAGTGAAACTCGAGTGATAATTGCCACGGATTTTAAAGGGGCTCATTTTCTGCTTGTGGATAGACAACACTGGTCAGATTGCTTTTTTCCATCTGTTTGTTGAATGTTGTGGGACAAGTTGGAAATATCCAGTTGAATATTAAGTACTTGGTCAGCGTAAATTGTTAAGATTTGGCAGAATATATGAGAGGTAGCCGAGTAGGTTTGGAGGCCTGCCTATATCTGATTGAAGCAGCTTTCCATGTCACACGGGTCAGGTGTGACATGGACAGGAAATTAAAGATGAACAACCCCTGGATTATGTTATTCTATTCTATTTTATTCTATTCGGCCGAAACCACAACTAACGCAGATGAAAACAGCTGGATCAAGAGCCGTCGTATGTGGCAAACGTTTTCAACTTCCCACTCAGTCCCGGTCCGCTAACATTCTTACTCTACAAGCCGGCAACCTCCCCCTCCCCCGCAAAAAGGAGGGTAGTCACGTGTCCGGGGGGGGGGGAAACGCGCCTTTCCCTTCCTTCAGGCTGATTGCCTCAGAGAGCCACCACTTTCCCCTTCTCCACGCCAATTTAGAGGCTTTATTGCATCAGACCCAACAACGCGAAGGCGGGGTTTGAGAAGTCTCCCACGTGCGGTGCCGGCCGGCCACTTTCTAGTTATAAAAGAAAGAGTGGCGAGATTTGGCAGCCGACACTTTTTTCTTTTTCCTTATATTACATATAAATAAATGTATACACACACAACACACACGCACAATACAACGTGCGCGGTGCAGCCGCCTACCTCAGCGCGTAGCTTTGAGCGCTTTCGCTGCCAGTGCCTTGTTGCTTCTCGCCGCAGCCCCGCGTGCTGCTGATCCCCCTCTGGGGCAAGAGAGCCGCGGAGCAAGCGGCCGGCACGAGGCGCAGCCTTTTGCGAGGGAAGCCGCAGAAGCTTTTCTTGGCGGGCCCCGCTGGTCTGCAGAGCAGGCGGCGTAAGGCAGAAAACCTCATTTTTGCGTGGAAAGAAGACGGCCGAAGAGTACCCTGTGGTTCCCGGCGAGCAGGAGGAGGAGGAGCTGGGCTCTGGGGAAGGACGCGCGCGGTGCAGCTGGAAGGGAGGCGGAGTAGGGTACTGGCCGCCGGACAGCGCTGGATTGGCTCCAGCCTCTGTAGGAGGCGAGGCGGAGCCAAGCTCGGCGGAGGGAGTCGGTTGCACTTCCTTTCCGTATTGCGGGGAGAGAAATAAAGGCCTCGTAGGTAAGCGAGGGGGCTGGCGAGGCTGCAGACGAGAAGGTGCTTTGTTAAAGAGGCAACTGGACTTTGGGATGGTGGTTGTTTTTTTTTTTTTTAAGACGTTTCGCTTCTCATCCAAGAAGCTTTTTCAGCTCTGGCTGGATGATGAGGAATGAAAGGATTTATACTCCTTGCAGATAGCTGGTCATTTGCATTCTTTTAATGACCTGCTGTCTGCAAGGTGTATAAATCCTTCCATTCTCCACCGTCCCGTCAGGATGAGAAGTGAAACGTCTTCAAAGAAAAACCAGAAAGTCCAGTGGCCTCTTGAAAAAGCACCTTTGGGACAACCGCGACAACCTGGGTGACTCAGAATCTCCATAGAAAGTAGAACGGGTAGGAGGTGCGTGATCCTAAGTGTGACGGGGACCCGTTTCCTGGGTACTGAGCAGAGGTCTTGGCTTCTTCCCCCGTTAGAAAAGTAGAACTCAAAATTTTCAAGTTGCAGATTCGGAGATAAATCCTAAAGACAATTTTAAAAAATTACTGATGAATTAAAAAAATAAATCCCTTGTATTGAATGCACTCCTGATGTTGTTATGGCCATATTATAATTTGAAAGGGAAAGTATGAGTTCCAATGTGGCACAGTTGGGAGATCAGAAAACAGACTGGGAGAAAGCTGGAGCAACTTATACTTTTCTTAAGAGATGTGATCATGAAGTTACCAGGGGAAAAAATAATTCTGAGAATTTTGGGTTTTTTTATATCTACCCCCAGAGGAAAATAAGTTGAACATAGGGTTGCTAGACAGAAATTGCCAGTCCATTATTCACTATAGATAGTCTTCAGCTTAACACAGTTAGGACCAGAATTTTGGTTGCTAAGTGATATGGTCATTAAGTGAGTCATAATTCACAGCCCTGATTTTATGAATATTACCAGTCATTAAGTGAATCAAGTAGTTAAGTGAAAGCAGTCATTTAAAATCATAATCACTTGACTTCGTGAGTGCCAGTTGCCAGGCTCCCAAATTGCAGTCATGTGTCAGGGTGTTGTGATGGTCATAACTTCAAGGACAGGTTATTGGTTACCTTTCTTGAATCCATTATAATTTAGATTTCTCAACAGTCCAGGACCTGTATGTTCTTGGCAAATTTAAGGCATTCTTTCAATTTGTCAATGATGAAAATTCTTCCTTTTTAGGTAATAACTTTAGTGGGGCCTTAGGAATTCATGTTTTATACTTGAATGTAGACTGACTCCTGATAGCAGATTTCATCCTAAATTGGTTACAAACTATGGTACCATTTTAAACTTTCCAACACAAGTCATAATACAGGTAGTCTTCAACTCACAATTGAGCCCAAAATATCCATTGCTAAGTGAAGACATTTAAGTGAATTTTGCCCCATTTGATGACCTTTCTTGCCACAGTTAAGTGAATCACTGCAGGTGTTAAGTTACTAAGTAAATCTGGCTTTCCCATTGACTGTTTGCCAGAAGCTTGCAAAAGGTGTTCACATGAGCCTGGGATATTGCAACTGATTGGTGTTGGCATCAGCAGTCAAACAAAAACTGAAAAATGTTTCCCCCACTATTTAAAAGAATCGGCAGCTGTCATTTTTGTGTTTTGGATTTTGTTGCATTTGTAGCTGCTAGTAAGCTCTGGCAGCTGGCCAAAGACACTGATAGTAGGTTTGCTTTGTAGACTTTGCTCCTGGCCTGTTAATTTAATTGTTCATAATTAAATTCCACTCCTGGTAGTCTAGACAGGGCTTTTTTCCAAATTAGTTGTAGTGATTTTAATATGTCTTACAGGTGAAAGGAAAGGTTATTTTGAGTGAAAATATTAATATTCATTTTGCCTAGGCCTTTCGTCACTTTGACTAGCTTACTGGGTATAGAAACCCAACATTCTTGCTATGGCTTGAATGCACTGATTTTGTATTTAAGCTTTAGTGTTTTCTTCTCCAGGCTGCTGCATGGACAGAAAAAGACAGTAATTGCAGAACAAGGTAGCTGAAGGGTTGGTACAGAAAAGCTTTAAAAGATATTATTTCTTAAAAAAAATAGAGCCTCTGCAACTATCTATTTCTGCAAAATTAAATAAAGTAGTTCATAAAAAGTCTGAGGTAACTGCTGCAAGCAAGTAGTATTTATTTTTTCTACACAGCACTTACAGGTTTGACATGCTTTACAGTCAGCTTTTAAGCATAACAAAGGAGAAAAAAGAACTCTTCTACATGTACATATATTTTTACATAGTCTTTACAAAATGAGTTATGTAAAAGTGCAACACAGAGGGTCTATTTCTTATCAATAGAATAAAACGGTAACACATGATATGTTGAAACTAGGAAAGTTGGTGTGAATCCACCCAGAATAAGCAACTTCATTTTGCATTTGTCCAGTAGTATAGTGCAGGTACTACCAGTAAATACAGAATAGATTTAAAAAAAAACAATTACTTTTTTTACAGACAATATTACCTGGATAAAAATAAGGCTCCTCTAAAATCTCTTTAAAGTTTTGAAGGAGAGCTGTAAATTATTAAAAAGATGATATGCCTACCTTTAGAACTGGACAACAAAGAATGTACAGTACATGTGATAGCAAGCCCCTTACATACAATATTCTCTGCCCCCAATATTCTAATTTTAACAACCATTTTTACTTTTTCCGTATTTCTGTTCTGCCCACAATAATTAATGAACAAATGTGTAGGCCTATCTTGTCACCCAAAGGTTAACTTACATTCTGTAGATGAAATGGCACCTACTTGTTCTGTTTAAACACAAGAACTTAGAAAAACATATCCTTGGAGCAATCTGAAAATCTGAATAGAATTAGCCTTCTGAACCTGTAAATAAATCTGTTTAAAATATTTTCAGAAAAATGTGTGATCTTTTGAGTTATTCAACTAACCAATGCGAACATAATATTCACACAGGTGAACAACGGTTTCCTTTCTATTTTGGCTACTGTACGTATTTTATAAAGCAGCCCCCCCTCCCCAAATTAAATACTTTTGTCTAATTTTGGGGTAGCTATCTACAATCAAGAACTATATAAAAAAGTTAGAGGTGGAGTTCCTCAGAATTTTTTCATCCAGACCAGAAAAATCATTATCATTCCCTTTGCTTTTACAAAAACTATGTCTTAGGGGCTCATCCATATTGAATTCAGCTATTTTTATTCCCTGCCAGCAAGGTTAAAAAGTACTCAAAATATACTGACGCTTGTCCCTTATATGACTACATGTTACATATTTCACTATTTTTTTTAAGAATAACAACAATCCTCCAGTATAATAAAGCAGACACAACCTTGTTACTGTATCTGGATTTCTATTACTATATTTATATTATTTTACATATTTTATTAAATAAATCCCTAAATTCATATGAACTTATTTTTCATCTGCTTACTAAACACACTTCGATTTGCAGTCAGTTTTTCTACTGAAGTCGGGGCAGCTTCCTGATACAAGAAAAATAAAAGTGAACTAGCATTCTACTAAGAAAAAACATCAGAATGATGAATTTCAAAGTAATTCAAGGAGCATATCTCTTTCAGTACTTATTTTAGTAAAAGGGACTGTGTACTTGCTAATTTGATGGCTTTGCCAAATCACCAAGTCACCACTCATGTCATAAAAATTCTGACTGCTGTTATCCCTTTTGGTGGGATGATGTAAGAAAGCAAATCCTGCTCAGTAAAAGGTACTTCAGTTGGTACTTAGATCATTACTCTCCTTCATATGAAATTTGATTGTATAGATGTATTCACGTATTTTTTTCAAGTGTTTCAAACTGAAGCTGTCTTACAAAAAGGGTATGTACAGCAACATAAGCAAGGGGGAGAACCCTATGCCAACCTGAAGAAGCTATTTAGTTGGTCGGCCTAATTTTAAAGTTTTCTCTAGACCCACTTGCATGATTGATGTTAAGACTGATAAGGGCATGCATACATGCCCTCTGACTTGTTGCCAGAGATTGCAACTTATGCCCAGATGCCTTCAAATTGATGCCAAAGCCAATAAGAAGACTCTGCAGGTGGGTCCTAGGCTGCTGTTGATTTGTGGGTATCAAATTTGTGAGTTGGAAACATGATTGCTTGGAAGTGGGGTAGAAATAAATTATTTAGTGCATTGGGGGGAAAGGGATTTCCTAAATTAGAATTCCTGAAAAATGTTGTTGCTTGATCCCAAAGATCCATTTAGTTTGTACCATTTGCAGTTTTACTTAATTAGAACTGTGTGGCAACGTAACTAGTACATACATATAACACATTAGTACATTTCAGTTGAGTCAAAGCAGTTCATTCTTCTGTGTTAAAGCAAATAAATTATGAATGCATAAAGTTTAATCACTGAAGATGTTCCACCGTTGTTTCTCTATGAAATTCTTGTGTATGTGGCCAGTTCTAATATACACTAAAGTTGCTAGAACAGAATGACACAAATGCAAGGTATTGTTCCTATAATTGTTTGTGGGTGTATGTATGTGTGTATGTGTACATACATACATACATACATACATACATACATACATACATACACACACAATAAGACAAGAACTGGTGGTCATACTATAACACATTAAGGCTGAACAATGGAATTGGGGAAAAGGCAACATTAAGCAAAACTACTTGAACTGAGACACTGAAATTTTTCCCTTAGGGACTGGACAATATTCGGTTGATTACTAGATGGCACACTCCATAAGTAATCATTCAATTTGTCCGAATCATTGCATGCTGTCAAGAAAGGATCTGATAGTTTAGAAGGATCCAACAATTTGCCACTGGGAGTTTCTAAATGAGTAGGGTGTGGATTTACTTTGGGATCCAAGTCCTTTGTTTGGTTACAGAAAGTCTCTAAGTCAGATCCCTCATCTTCGGATTTAATTTCAACATAGTCATCATCATCTCCTTCTCCATTGTCAGTATCTTTGAAATTACTAAAATAATTGTGGGTTGCTATTTGTGCATTTGAAGGCAAGTTCCTTTTCACTCTCAGAATTTTCTGAGAATCTTGTAGAATAACATCTGAGACATTTTCTGAGGCCTGCTTTGTCTCATCGCACGTTGAATGGCCAGGGATGGCAACAGACACTGATTCTTGACAGTGGTCAGTCAGACATTTTTTGTTGGAATGCAAATGCTTTTTCTTCATTTCAGGTGGATAATTTATTGATTCTTCAGACTTGTTGAGCACAATCGAGCAAGAGGACTGTGATCTGCTAGATGGTGGTAGCCTTGTACTGCTCTCTGTCCTGCCTAAAGAATTATAAAGGTGGCTGTGATACAAGTTCTCTTTATTGGGTTGATTTATAATAGTACTCCACCTTTGTGCAGGAATGTGTGGACGAAGGGGAGTCTGAAAGGAAGGCACTGAGCCGGTTACAGGTCTCACATTTGGCGTCCCCCCCATTTCTATAAGGGAGCTTTTTGTCTTCAGGTGAGGAGTTTCTGGCCAAGGAGAAAAATCAGAAAGTTCTCCATTACTATATGTCGAATGCAAAAGCCAATTTTCAGCTTTTAAGCATTCTGCAGCTAAGTGAGACGTGGAAACAGGTGAAGAATATCTTATGTTTGTTTCTTGAGAAGTAATCTTCTGTGTTTTGGGTGAGGTTTCCCGGAATACAATTTGATCATATAGTTGAGAATATTCAGCAATTCTTGCACCTAAAAAACAAAGAGAAGTTTTAACTAACCTTAATAAATAATGATGACAACACCAGTGCGTTAACATTTCCTGATAAATAAGGATATTTTAAAATAAACTTTTAGTCAAGTGTCACAGATTTTAACATGCTATTACTGCAAAAAAAATTATAGATGAACATCTGATCTTAGACACAGAGATCTTTCTCCCCCATTTCCTATGCTTTCTCCTCCATCTTCTGAAGAAGGATGTCTCTGGAGCAAACTAGGGTATATGAAGTTCATGCAACCAGAATCCTAAATGAAATCCATCTGTATAATATATGTACCCCTTAATTTTATTTTTGTTAGCTTCAAGTCAATGTTGACTTCTGGCAACTGCTTGAACTCATCCATGAAATTTTCTTGGCAAGGTTTCCTTTTTAAAAATGATTTGACATTGCCTACTTCCTAGGACTGAGAATTACTGATCAAGGCTACTCAGCTGGCTTCATGCCTAATGTGGCACTAGAATTTATGGTTCCCAGTTTCTAGATGGATGCTTTTAACCACAAACTGACTGTAACATCCATGATGACATAGTGTGCTCACTTCAGGGAGGAGGGATCAAGCATGGCGCTAGCCTGGAGTCACTCTGCAGAAGTGCAAAAGGGCTAAGGTCAACTGCCCTAAATTCCCTGAAGCCTTATCTACCATATATTTTGGAGTATAAGACGTAAGACGTACTGGCTTATAAGACGCACTGGAACATAAAACGCACCAAGATTTTGAAGAGGCAAATTAAAAAAAAAAGTTTTTGCACTTTGCAGACCTAGCAAAAACAGCCTGTTTTTTGTGAAAACGGGCCCATTTTTTTCAAAAAAAAAGGGCATGAATTGCCTTTAGGAGGCTTGTAGAGTGTTCCGGAGGGGGCGCACAAAGACAAAAATGGCCCATTTTTGCGAAAAAATGGGCCGTTTTTGTCAAAAAAAGGGCATGCATAGGCTTTAGGAGGCTTATAGAGTTGTTCCTGTGGGCTGGCCGGAGGGACAAAATTGAGCAAAAAACGGCCTGTGAATGCCACGGTAATTGTTCCCAGGAGTAGCTGCCAGACGGGGGAGATTCATGTATTATAGCCATGTATTAGCTTGTACTGTGCATGTATGGGTCCAGTTGTTGATACCTGACAACTACTGCTACACAATTTCTTCTATCATTTCTTCTACATACTTATTCCTGTAACTACATCCACTCAGTTTTCTGTCTCCTGATACCAAAGTAAAGTCATATGATGGTATTTAGGAAGTGCGCCTTTTTGCAGTGATCCCTGCCCAGTGGAGCACCCTCTTCTCTAGTGATCTGGCAGGCCTCCACCCTCCTTGGCCTCTGGAAGGCCTTGAAGAACTAGCTCTTCCCACAAGCATTAGTTTAGGGAGTGGCTGGAGCCCAGCAACTCTAAATGTCAAAGAAGGGAGGATAATCTGTTTTTGAGTACCATGAGTTTTTTTGGGAGTTTTTAAATGGGTTTTTTAAATATATATTTTTACTCCTGTTCTGTTTTTTGTGTGAGCCAACCAGAATTATTATATATAAGATGGGAGGCACATACGTCCAATCAATCAGACAATATTTTTCAAGGCATTTCTGTGTATCTGTTCTCAAAACATGGTTGCTCTCTTCATTTGCACAATAAAAACCCACTACTCTTTAATGACACTATAACTAGCCCTCTTAACATTCTCCCCAGCCAATATATATATATATATATATCTTCCACAATAAAATGTCTGGAGAAGACAATAAAGCTAAATATTATTGGTACATTCCTCACTTCAAGCAAATATCAGCAAAATACAACATTTATGTTTATATGTTTGTCTCATAACCTTTTTATTAATTAAATGAAGTTACGCAACTGTTTAGAATTTATGGTAAGCGTGTTCTTAAATGCATTGAGAAACATACTGCTTTTCTGATTTAAATTAAACATGTGGCTTAATTTAAAAGCCAATTAGTTAAGCCAGTGCTATAAAATTCAAATCAGAATAAGAGAGTTGGAAGGGAGCTTGGAAATCTTCTAGTCCAACCCCATGCTCAGGCAGGAAGCTCTATAGTATTTCAGAAAATGGTTGTCCAATCTCTTCTAAAAACCTACACTGTTGGAGCATTCACAACTTCTGGAGGCAAGTTGTTCCTTGTCCTGCCTTTAGATGCTTTGGAAACTAAGTTGACTCTCTCTTCTTTGTGGCAGCCCCTGAAATATTGGAACACTGCTATCATGTCCCCCCTACTCTTTTTTTCCATTAAACTGGACATACCCAATTCCAGCACCTGTTTTATATATGCTTTAGCCTCCATTCCCCTAATCATCTTTGTTGCTCTTCTCTGCACTCATTCTAGAGTCTCCACATCTTTTTTACATCATTGCGACCCAAACTGGATGCAGTATTCCAAGTGTGGCCTTACCAAGGCATTATAAAGTGGTATTAACACTTCACGTGATCTTGATTCTATCCCTCTGTTTATGCAGCCTAGAACTGTATTGGCTTTTTGGCAGCTGCTGCACACTGTTGGCTGCATTAACAGAGGAATAGATCTTACTCATAATGAAAGAAATGCTAGCATAAGTATATTAATTGGACCTTTTCAGTCAATTCAAAGAAATATTGACCAATGGATGGGTAAAGTATACCCATAAGTCATTGTGTTCAAGTATTCAACAGATCAGTTTAAAAAATGAGGGAAAATATAAGTATACCAATGGCAGGTCCACCTTGTTTCTTCTCTTCTAAAATGGCTGCTAAGTCCTTGTGCTTTGATTTCTGTTGCCGATTCAGAAATTGTTCTTGCTCTGCACTTTTTACTTTCAAAAACTGATTTGCTTTCTTGATTTTTTGACTGTACTGTCTTGCCATCATAAAAACACGGTTCTTTGTTTTATCCACAGAATCCAGTTCACCATTAGTATTTATTGTATTTACTGTGCAGAATATATTATTGGGAGATTTGTAAAGGCTATCAGCAAAACATCTGTCATTTGAGAGAGAAGATCTGTTGAGATCTATTAGTGAATTTGCTTTATATGATGTTGCCTCTTCAAACTTAATGTTGGCTTCACTTAACCTGGCTACCTTGTTTGGCAAAGTTTTTGACAAAACACCTTTTTCCGGTAGTGGGAACATAGTCAATGAATATTTTACATCTTTATTTGGTCCACCAGTAGTTCTGCTAGATGCTTGATTATCAACCTCATCTTTGCAGACAGGAAAAGCCGCAAGGACGTGATCCCGTGACTTTTCTTCATTTTTCTTGATATAATTCTCCAGGTCATTCCAGATTTCATCTACTTCCTCTGATAATTTATCTGCAACAGACTTGTGAGAGTGTGAATCAGAATTTGAGGAACTCTCTGCCAAATTTAAGCAGCCACGATCTAATGGAACGTAATGATAGGGATTTTCATCTTCACTGAATTGGAGGCTTTCTTCAGAAACAAATTGTCGGAACTGGTTACAGCATGTAAAATCTGTTTCCATACCCAGAAAACTTCTCTTTTTGGAACATTTAAGGGGATCACTTTTGAAATTTGACACTGACTCTTCTGGAAGGCGTATGGTATCATAGATATTTTCCTCACTAATCCTTAACTCATAAGACCTTACAGGTGAAGGCTGTCTCCTGGGAATGGCTTCATTTCTGCTAGGAATACAAGTCCTGTTTTGAGATGCTTGAGTTTTTTTGAAAGAATAGTCTTCGTCATATGTCTCATAGAGTGAATCTTTAGCTGACCCTTGTGGGGTACGGTTGGACTCTTCCCTCTGAGCCAGCCCCATTAACTTCAAATCTTCAAAACTTATGTTGTCATAGACATGATCTATGTCATCTATAGTCAATTCTTCTGAAGATTCCTGACATTCTTGAAGATTGTCCATGTCACTTCTGGAGTTTTTAATTTCATTCCAAGAGGCACTTTGATCATGGTAATTCTTTCTATATCTTGCTCCAGTTTTACTTTCACCAGCGCTGCTGGCCCGCCTCATAATTCTATGGGAGTTCAGGTTGGAAATATCATTTTTATGGACTAGTCCTAAATGCCAACTGCAAGGACGGTTTGATGGGGTCCTTTCTTCACATGCAATGGAAGTTAAATTGGATGTGGAGTCTGATGGCATGAACATTTGGTAATCATCATCATCATCATCTATATTGTCTTGTAGAGGTTGTCTACTTGGGAACAATGCTTGTCGAATCTGATGGTCTGTCCAGATATTTCTCACTGCAGCTGTTCTCCCCAAAATATTTGCCACAAATGAGTTGTTTTGGGGAGTAAATTGTTCAGATAACTGACTATCCTCATTGCAGGAAAATGAAAGCTTTGTGTTCATCTGGGAAGGAGCTTCATCTGTACGTTTTTTGGAGTTCTGTGAAGTTTTCAAATATAGAATATTATTAGTCTGTATTCTAATCACATCAATGCTAATCCTGAACTTAGTTCTAAAATTTCTGATTCTTGTGTAGCAAAAATGACACTTCCTTAAATTGCATAGGAAGGAGGCACTGATAGTTCTGTTGTATTCTAAGGTTTAAGACGTATACTCTTGTTCATTCTATTATGAAAACCATAACTAAATAACATGCAAGGAACCGGGATACCAGGGAGTTCTTGCTTGCTTGCAAACCTTTATGTTTGTCTGTACACATAAAATGATATTTTTCTATAAGCATCTTGTGCCTTTTGAAACCCAAAATTTGGAAAGTTGATGACATGTCTACAGGAGTTGGAACCGAATCTTATAATGCTACTTCATCCTGACTCATACTTAGATGTAAGCTTGTTTTAATAAGCATTAAGTAGAACCTATTTATCAACATTTTTTTCTTTCCTAGGGATAAGTCACAGAGAAGGGGATGATAGATAATAGGATGTGCAAACAGTAATAAATGATCCCATACAACTTTTTGTTTTTATTGATTATTGTGTTGTAGCCTCTGATTTTTCTCCCTTTTTTACTTCATTTGCATCTCTCAACACATGAAAAAATCAGTTTTCTATGATATTTTTAAAGGAAATTATTGGAATTTGAATGGGTTCATATCCATGTCCACATACATTTCTTAATAGCATTACAGACATGGCTTAGCACTCACTTTCCTTGTATATTATTTCTGCTTGTTATTCTAAGCTACATCTCTGATGTTCTCTGGTAAACTCCCATCCAAATATTAAACAGTTAATCCAATCATATTTACTATGGTTGTTTTAGCTCAACCAGAGTTAGGTGCTGCCATGATGATTTCACAACTTTTTCAATTACCTGAATTTCACATATGTTGAGATTAAAAGTCCTTCGTTTCTCAAAATTTTCAGTAACTTGACTATTCAATCTTTTGCGGCCTCCCTTTGGTTTTTGCTGAAAATGCTGAGTGCTCTGTGGAAATGGGCGAATATTAAACTATATGTCTAATTTCAGCCAAAGTAAAGTCTATCAACATTCTGATTTCAACAAGTAGATGCTATATTTCATCTGATACCATGGAAGACTATTTTTGTATGATTCTTCTATCTACACTGACATCTACGATGGTCTCATGTAGTAAATTCAAACAAGATTTTTTTGAAACTGTTGTCATTATGTTAAAATATTGGTAACACACCAATATATGCAGAGTTAAATTAATGAATGTTGGTAGGATGAAGGGGAATCAACAAGGAGAGGAAATTACATCTTCAACTATACTTTCTGCATCTCACTTTTTAATATCATGTTTCTCAGTCTTTTTCCCTTATTCAGTCTTCTCTTTTGTTTTTTATTCTTTCATGTGTTCACCCTCTCAGCACATTACCAAATTTCTTTCTGTTAGCTCAGTATAACTATTGGGGGTTGGAAGGAAATTCTTTTGAGAGAATTCCTCCCTTCATTGCTAAGCTTCATGGCAGAGGACAGAATACAACAGTGGTCAAAAGATCTCAGAAATTCCTATTGTATTCCCCCAATGGCTAGGATGCAGATGTGAAAATGTTAACCTCCTCTGTTAATTAATTTGGGTTTCTGAAAGCTAAAGCAAAGATACCCCATTGTATATTCAGCTTAGTATGATTCATGGAGCCATTCTACATAACCCGTTTCCCCGAATATAAGGCCTCCTTGGATAATAAGCCCAATCAGGCTTTTGAGAGCATGTGCTAAAACAAGCCCTCTCCCCGAAAAAAAAGCTTTCCCGGAAAATATTGCAACACAGCAGCAGCCATGAGGTGACCCCCATTCGCCGCCTCCTGCACTTCAAAAATAATAAGGCCTCCCCGAAAATAAGGCCAAGTGCTTATTTTGGGAGTCAAAAGACTGTTTTTAGGAAAACATAATATGATACTGAATATTAATGGATCAATGTGTTCTCTCCCCATTTCATGAAATAAGGTGCTTACTTGTTCGGTCTCTTCTTCATCATCAGCATCAGTCTGCTCTGTAACATATGTGAGAATATTATCCTCCTGACCACTGCTATAGGCTGCTTCATTTGAATCTAGTCGTTGGCAATTCAGTGAATGATTCTTCCTGGGACTGAAGAATAACTCAGTCTGAGATAGCAGGGTTCCTTCAGTACTCATCCGCTAGGGATAGAGAGGGGAAAAAATACAGATTTAAGTATTCAATATTCTGTATTATGCAGTTTGCCTTTTATACAGCCTAGCAGAGTATCCAGAGCAGCCCACAATGCTCTTCATCTTCATGTTACTTTGCTATTAAAATCATGCTCTTTTAAAAGACAATTTATCTTGTCTTTATTTTTCAAATGGTTTTTAAAAGAACAATTCAATGATTCTGCCTGCTGTGGTCCTTGGTCTTCACATCTGGCCCTCAACATATTGCTCAAAGATTGGGGTGAAATCCTCCAATCCTGCTTTAAAAATATGTCTTGTATATTGTGGTGTGCTTTGCAGAGCATGCATATGTAGACTGTTTTTTTAAAATCATTTCTCATATATGCACAGCTTTTAGCTTGGAAGATTTGTATTATAACTCTTCTTGATCTCTATGGTGTTCCCTCTGCTGTTTTTGCATATAATAATCACCTATGTTTTATCATGTAACTGTTTGCTCCTGTTCCTGATCTCCTCTTTTTTGCAACATGATCATTAAAATATTTACATTAAAATATTGTTTGTTTCGATGTACTTCAAAACAGGAAAAAAGGGTAAAGCTTCTAGATAGAAAATTTTAATTTAAGAGCATAGACAGATGACAGACAGAGAGACAGTCCTTGACTTACAACAGTTCATTTAGTGACTATTCAAAGTTACAGTGGCACTGAAAAAAGTGACATGATCATTGAGCCCCAATGTCACATGATCAAAATTCAAATGCTTGGCAACTGACTTAATTTATGATGGTTGCAGTGCCCAGGGTCATATGATCACCTATTGCTACCCACAGACAAAGTCAATGGAGAAGCCAGATTTACTGAACAACCCTGCTACTAACTTAACAACTGCAGGGATTCACTTAACAACTGTGGTAAGAAAGATTGTAAATGAGACAAAATTCATTTAACAAATGTCTCACTTAGCAACAGAAATTTTGGGCTTAGTTGTGGTTGTAAGTTGAGGACTACCCGTAAATTGATAGATGATAGATATGTCATGGGTAATATTCATCATCTGTTTTTTTTTTTTAAGCTGCCAGTTCCTTCAATAAACAATATAGTTTACCTTTTGCAAATTTGGGTCCATTTCTGAAATGATTGAAAAACAAACGTAAGTATCATATGGTGACTTGCATTTATACTAACTTTTAGTATACCACTTTATCCAGGGAGAATAAAAATAAATTTAAGAACGCTTAAATTTATGTTTCGGTAGAGGATGGGAAAGATATTTTAGAAAACATTTCTTTCCTGTAGATAAACTATTCAGCTGCTTAGTTAATTGGATAGAATTTATTCATTGCAGGAAAAAGTGCTTCAGAAACAGCTAATAGGTAGCACAGTACTGTAGTGACTTTAATGCCCAATAGAATTAAAAAGGTTAAGATAAAGAAAGAAAGCAATGAGAAAACTTCCTCTTAATAAGGCATGCACGTCTCTCTGTTTTCTTGTTTTCATTTAGAGGAGGAAATAATGTAATTTAAGGCTAGGCAGTGTGGGAACACCAATGCAAAACCAGCCTGAAACTCTTTAAAACAACCCCATTTTTAAAAATAGCAGTATGATCCAGTTAAAACAACAACAGAAGTTTAATTACAGCAGAGTGCAGTCTCACATGGCAGCCTGAAGTAGTGTAAATGATGTCTTCAGTGTAAATCTACCACAGATGGGTGCCTTTAGTTCAGTCACATTTGTAAGGATTGGTGAATGGATGCCATCTATAGCACCACTTTTGCCATTTAATGCTTACAAACTCAGGGGCTAGAAATGTCTTCCTACCCATTTGAAAAGTTGCTATTCTTCACAATTTTGTATTATTTGTGATACACATCTTTATTAAGACTTGATGTTATTTCCTATATAAATTCTATATAAAAGTTAATTACATGGATAATTTCAGTGAAATGTGCCATGCTTAAATATGCATTGTAACTAAAGTATATCTTGTATTTTGATATTATGTAACTTACCACTTGATTTTGTGATTTTATGAACTCTGGAAGAAGGTTCTGTGTGGAAAACATGTAATTATTAATATTTTTATTTTTAAAATGTTGTAAAAATGTTAAGTATATTATTTAATTTTATATGTCTCTTATACCCAGATACATTCAGCTTTTATCACTACCAAGCTGAAATTACAAAGGTTCCTGGAAATGGAATTCTTAGATCTTGATGTGATTGCTGAAACCAAACTACCTCAACAGATTTCCTATACAACTCTACCTGAAAAATAAAGGAATCTATTTCAGGAAGAATTAAACACTATATATTTCAATGGTATTCAACTGCACTACAGAGAAACTTATCATGCTTTCAAAATGTGGGATTCATTAGCACAAGATTGACAAGCAGTGTTAATGATAACTTGGTTTTATTCCTTGGCCTTTAGGAAGGAAATGGCCTGTAGATACTCTATCTTCCTAGAACAGGAGTGTCAAACAGGTGGATGTGTCACATGCAGGCCAAGCCCACCCTGCTCCGCGAAGGGAGAAAATGAATGTCACGATAGATCATGTGACGGCAACATGACGCTGCAAGCTTGACACCCGTGTCCTAGAGCATCAAAGCCCTTCTAGTATCTCAGAAGAAGCAGCTGCAAGTGCTGCTCCATCTCAGCTGTACCTGAAGAGGGAAGTTGCTAAGTGACTAAGGTAGCCAAAACCAAGTCTGCAGACATCCTTGCTTAATATCTGCGGTGGGAACACCATACAGGCATTTCATGGTTTGTTGGAGAGACTGGCCAAGCCGGGGGGGTGGGGAGGAGAAGTCAAGCAGAAAATTAGTGTGTACTCTTTACATAGACACACAAGAAGGCAAAATCCAATTGGTTGTCATTGAACCTTATCTAGTCTGGCCCAAACCACCAGTCTGGGAAGATTCCTCTGAAACAGGCATGAGAAATAAAATAATTACCATATTTCTCAGAGTATAAGACACCCTTTTTTCATAAAAAAAGAGGCTGAAAATCTGGGTGCGTCTTATACATCAAATACAGCATTTTTTGCCTCCCGAAACCTTGCCCCCTTCATCAAAATGGCCTTCCATACCCTTATAGATGCTTTCAGACAGTTTCTGGGGCTGGGGAGGGCAGAAATGAGCAGAAAACGGGCCATTTTTGCCCCCCACAGCAACACCCTATAAGCCTCCATAAGGCTATGCATGCAATTTTTTTGACAAAAAACGGGGCCGTTTTTCTGAAAAATGGGCCTTTTTTGCTAATTTTTGCCCCCCCTCCCAGAGGCACTCTGCAAGCCCCCCCCCCCAAGCTATTCATGCCTTTTTTGGGGGAAAAAAATGGGCCTGTTTTCATGAAAAACAGGCCATTTTGGGGTTTGCAGAGTGCAAAAACGTTTTTTTTTTCCTTTTGGGAAGCTCTTTAACTGATTGATGAGAATTACATTGATCAAGTGCTGTGTCAGCAGAAACAAAATCTTAGGTGCTGCATATTGTCAGAGATTTCCTTCTCCAGCACATGGATAAATACACCTGGAAAGATTTACCTACCTACCGACTCTCTCTCTCCCCCCCCTACCTAATGTACTGTATTTCTCTCTCCTCTACCTACCTACCTACATACCTACCTACTCTCTCTCTCCCTACCTATCTTCTGTATTTCTCTCTCCCCTCCTCTATCTACCTATGTACCTACCTACTCTCTCTCTCTTTCCCTAGCTATCTACTGTATTTCTCCAACTCTTTCTATTTCTCTCTATCTATCCCTCCACCTACCTACCTACCTACACACACACTCACTCTCTCCATACCTACCTACTGTATTTCTCTCTCTTTCTCTATTTCTCTCTCTCTCTATCTCTTTATCTACCTACCTAACTACTATCTCTCTTCCTACCTACCTCCTGTATTTCTCTCTCTCTATCCCTCTACCTACCTACCTACCTACCTACACACTTTCTCTCTCACTCTCCCTACCTACCTACTGTTTTTATCTTTCTTTCTCTCCCTCTATCTATCTACCTACTTTTTTAAAATTTGTCTCTTCAAAACCTTGGTGCGTCTTATACTCTGAAAAATACGGTAATTGATACCTTTGTGTGGGAACTTGGTTGTTTGGGCCTGACACCACTCTTTTAAAAAGAGAAGGCACAAGGCAGTTGAGGGCAGACAAAGCAATTACTGCATGGATACCAATAGAGGTGGGTTTGAGGCCTCTGAAATTGTATGTGGAAAAGGTGACTTGTTTTATTCGGTATAATCAGCGTTTATGTAGGGCACAGGGCAAAGAGCCATTTATTTCAGTCTATCTCATGTCCATTTCTTCCACCAGGAAAAGCAACAATTTTTGGGAGACTAATGAATTCAACCAGAAATGATGAATGTATCATATTTTGTATTTTATAAAGATGAGTATGTTACAAAGGTATCTGTTGTATACTTTTTATATCTGCACATAAAAATATCACATATGTAGATTATTTAAAAAATGAAGTGTGGATTTATGAGAGAGACAAATCTGCTCAAAGAGGTTATTTGCAGTGCAACCTCATGTGGCTATTCAGTAACAAACCCCACTACTGAGTGTAATTGCAAGCTACTGCTAAATTGTGAAGTTAAAGTATATTTCTACCATAATATGGCCAGTATGTATCAGTGGTGGGTTGCAGGCGGTACGCCCCGGTATGCGTGTACTGGTGCCTGACAGAAACAGCAGCCACCATACTAGAACGGTGCTTTAAAGGGCCCGCCCACCCACCCGCCCTCGTTCCTTACCTATATTTGAAGGAAACGGGCCATCTGTGCACACATGCACAGCGTACGGCGCCTGCGCAACGCTCCACCGAGCAGCTGGAGTGTTGCAGGTGGTGAGTGCGCATGCATGTGCATGGTGCATGCCCAGATCCCATTGCAGCTTACTGGTTGCAACAAGAGCTGAAACCCACCACTGGTATGTATATATGAATTCTTTAAAGATCATTCCTACTGTGGCTCACATTACAACTTTTATATTGCTTTTATTTTCAGTCTTAAATCTGTATTTTATTTCTATGAAATTTGAAACATATGTGCTAGTTGTAGGGGGCAGTGCTCATCTCTGTTTCAAAGCTGAAGAACCAGCATTGTCCAAAGACGTCTCCGTGGTCATGTGGCCAGCATGACTAAGTAACGAAGGCACATAGAACGCTGTTACCTTTCCACCAAACTGGTCTCTATTTTTCTACTTGCATTTTTTACATGCTTTCGAACTGCTAGGATGGCAAAAGCTGGGACAAGTAATGGGAGCTCACTCCGTTACGCAGGTATTCGAACCACCGAACTTTCTGATTGACAAGCTCAGCGCCTTAGCCACTGAGCCACTGCGTCCCTAATTGTAAATATAAACATACCTAAAGCAAAATGTATTACCTGATTTCCTTCTCATCCTTTGTGGAGTGATGCCCTCTTTAGAGTTACTTGAAGCTTTCATTTCTTCTGGGCTGTAATGGAACCCTGGGTGATCTATTTTTTAAAAAAAGTTTTTTGATTTTGAAAGTAATGCTTTATGTATAAGATTCAGCCACAACTACACTTTTGAATGATCTGCTACAATGGAGTACAATCCGGAAATAGGATTCATGCTGAGATTTATATAGGTACATGCAGCTAAAGGCAGAAATCACAACACATCAGAATAGGATTCATTTGTCCCTTTCAAGAAAACCCTTTAATTTTCTTTCTTATAATAATAATATTTCTCCAGAGATGACCCAATCGTTTTAGGCAAGTTTCACAGCTCTTGGTAAAGTAGGCATGCTGAAGGAATTCACATGTAGCCTTAACAGATGATTGGCAGGGTATAATAAAAAATGAACATAAAAACAACAGTATCACATAATATTTTTGATCATCTGACATCTACTGGATGCAAACAAGCCACATCATAGCACAACTCTTCCTACACCTACACACACACACACACACACACACATAACACAGTGGATTGTGAACATATCAATACAAGAATACAAAAAATATTATTTAAAAGGGACTTCAAGTAAATTTAATCCCACTCACATATACAGGGAAAAATAAAATATAGAGGTTAAGCATAGCTATAATCTGACCTTATTTCAGGAAGCACAATGTCTCTGAACTATAAAAGCTCCCCATATGTACAGACACAGACAGATAATATACACAAATGCACACCCATCCACCAAGAACTTTTTATTGTATATAAGAGGAACTTAAAAAGAAAATATCATAAGGATGCTTGTGGAAATTTTATTATGTTACATGGGCAGCTAAACAACTTGATCTGCAGTCCTCCATTACAAATAGGACACCTACAAAAGTCACATTGTCTGGAAACAGAGTGAGCCAGGTATCATTTGTGAGTTTGCATAATAGCAACATTTTAAGGAAGACGTACATGTGTCTCACATAGTTATTCAACAGACCTTACATAGCCCCCAGAAACCTAGTGACAGCTAGCATCAACTATGTTCATTAAATATCTTCATCTCTCAATATTTATTTCCCATCTTTAGAAATAGAAGTGCAGCTTAATTATTTAAACAAGATATACTTACAAATTGCATCCATTTCAAGAATTGCTTGCTTGGCCTGAAAAAGAAATATTGGATACAAATTATTTATTTGATTTATACCATGCCTCCCCTGCTCTTGCAGGCTTTCAAGGCTACTAACAAAATTTGAAATTGTGGTAGAAATATTGAATTGAATTGAATGATCAATTAGCAAAAATTGAATTATCACAAGATTGGAAAGGGATTATAAAGATCCAATTTAAATCCCTACTCAGTTATGACACTTAAAGTAATGTGATAACTTTAAGATTAATTAGATTTCATTGCATTTTGGTCTAGGAGGAAAAGCAGAATATAATCATCATATAAATTTCTGACTCTCTGATAAACCAGAGATTAATCTTGACAAATATGTATGCCCCAACACAGTGTTCAACAAACCAATATGTAGTTTAGAGCAATACTTTTAGAGACAAGTGAGTCAATCCCTTCCTGCCCCTTCCCCGCACTCCAAATGCTTCATTCATGACTATTTTCTGATCAGTCAGTCTTATTTCTGATTTTATAGTAAAATAATATAAAGAATGACCTAGAAAGACATTGCTGTCAAGGATCACCAGATTAAAAAGTATGAAGAATTTCTCTCTCACCCAATGATAACACACCAAACCCAAACAAGGAAACCTGCATTTTGTTTTATCATGTGTGTGTGTGTGCATTTTAAAAAAACATGTTGATGGGAAAAATGCACCCTACATTGTTTTCACATGGCAAAATTGTATACAAATAAATCTGCAAGATTAAAGGAGTACTTCAGTTATTGTCCACTAGGTGTAGCAAGTGTACAACCTCAAATGTAAAGACCAACCTATAACTACAGTAACTTCATAAAAACCCTTTATTATTTTCTCTACAAAATGTTATCTCACTCAAAAAATATATGCTAACATTTGGTTTATGAAAATGATGGCATGTACCAGGTATGGGTGATCCTCTAAATACTGTAAAACTCAAAATCATCTCACAACCAACAAACTAGTGGATAGTCAGAAATGATATGAGTTATAGTCTAGTATTATCTGAAGAAACTGAGCAATTTATTTTTATATTTATTTTATATTTAATTTTAAATGTGACATATCAATAAATAAAATGCATTAAAAAGAATAGTTTCTCACAGCATAGTTGCTTTCCACATATATGATTGCTGCCATTTAGCCAAGTCTTATAGTCGTACAGCAAATACACAATTATAGCTCATTATGAATTCATCTTTCTAATATATAAATGTTTTGGCATAATTATTAATTTCATCTCTATTGTTTCAGAGCCATGGTAGTGCAGTGATTAGAATGCAGTACACAGGTTCCTTTAAGAATCTTTGGCCTGCCAGCAGTGTTGTAGGACTAACTCACTGCTCACTCCAGGAGTTCAATTCTGAGCAGCTCAGGATTGAGTCAGCCTTCTATTCTTCTGAGGTCAGAAAAATGAGGGGACCAAGTTGATGGGGGCAATATGCTGATTCTGTAAACTGCTTGGGGAAGGCTATAAAGCACTGTGAAGCGGTATATAAGTTTAAGTGCTATTGCTATTTAGTGCTTCCTCATTGTGTCCTAGGAAATACTATTTGTCAGAGAACAAAGGTGACAACATCTGTGTCAATATATTTGAAGTGCACAAATAAACATTCTGCATTGATTCAATTCTGACTCCTACTCATGAAATTCAAATACGCAGCCTGTACCAGTACCTATCTAATACTATCATTCCATCTGAAAAGAAGTTGAGGGTTAGAATAACATTTGGAATATTTAAGATACATTGTCAAAGGCTGAATCAAATCTGTTTGAAAGACATCATCAAAAAAGCAGATGCCCCTTCTTAAACAAGTAGAAGGGCCTCTAATATGGAAATTAGATTGAAATTAGATCTAATATTGTAATTATATCCAAGGTTGTATAATAATCAATATGCGGATCAATTCAACAAATGAAAAAATGATTTTTAGGGAAAAGAAATGGAATCAGATCCCAGTTCAGTT